AGTATAAGTACAAAACAAATAAAAAACTTACTCTAACACTTTGTATTGCTTATCCCAGCTGATCTAACTGTCTGTTGACGACGCGACTGTTCATAGTGTTAATGATGCTGCAAATATTATTGTGTTTTGTTTTCTCATTCTTCTTCAAGGACCAAGCGAATATTCATAATTTCGGCCATCTTCATCAAGATCAATGACTTTTACACAATCTTCAACACTAAGAACCATATTCAATCGTATACAACAATAATCACCAAAGCCACCTCGTCATTATGAAGAATAACATCAAAAAGTAACGACAAAAACGTAATTGCAAATTATTTGTGTCAAGTTCATATATGCTTTTAAAAATTAACCAAGGCATGTGTTAATATGAATCAAAAGACAAAATATTTAATAGATATCACGGTTCTGACCGAAAAATAATGTTTTAGAAAAATTTGCTCGCGAAATTTTTGCACAGGGTGTATTATAAATAAGGTAAAAAACACTCTTCGATTAACCCTGTATAATAAGTCAAATACTAAAGTTTCTAATAAACTGAATTTATGAATTAAAGTTGATATATTTATATAGTTTTTAAAAAAATCAAGGAAATAGGGCTAAAAATAAAAAAAATATTTTAAACTTGGCCAAAAAAATTTGCGTTGCGTTTTTTGTACTTGAGTGGATTAAGCATAAAGTGTAATTTTTTTCTTTGTGAACTTTATAACAATTGATTGTATAATTTGATTGACGCTTTCCAAGATAGTATAATGCTTTTTCGAGACCCGGTAGGACTAAACCAGGTATATTCCCGGAAATCCCGAACGTTTGATAAACCTAGTTAAAAAAGGTAATTTCGTATATACACTGCGTACCTACAAGTTATAATAATGTTTTTTTTGTCAAAATTTATAAGTATAAAACTGTTAATACATGGCCTAATCCATATATGTTTTCATTTGATCGGCTAACGACTAATCGACAACTACATCTTCACTCTGGTCTCGGCTCGATTTACGAAGTTGTAGAACCATTGTAGAATGTTTAGGAGGGGAGTTAATCACCGCGACCTTATAGATCTATTGTGTGTTCTCCTTTCTTGAGTTATAACGAGTTATAACTCAATCATGCTCATCATACAGTCTCAGGGCTTTAACAAAAGCCAGTATCTGAGACGGCTCCACAGAGGCGAGCTCTCCATCCTCGACATCAGACGTACCAAAGTTCATGGCACGAAAGGTCGTCGTCTCGGCGCACTCAGTGATAAGGTGTTCTGGTGTTTTTCTGGTTATTTTTATTTACGAAGTTACACGACGCAAGACAAGGTGAGCGATTAGGAGGATAACCATCTGAAAACTGTTGGCCGAAGACACGAGTCTAAAATCCAAAAAAAAAGGGAATATCTATTGAAACACTGCATATTTACGCAATTTGATGTAGAATAGCTCATGAACCCTTGAGTAAATTTATATATAGGTACATTTCCTAAGTCAGTACTGAGTCGCTACGATTCGGAATCAACATTAATTAATTTTAATAGAACAATTTTAAGTTAATATTCATTAAAAATTAAATATTAGCAAATAATTTTATCTCATAACAGGACAATATAATATTCTGAAAAAAATAATGCATTTTTTATGAAAATATGTTCGTAACAAGTATTCTCGGTTGCGAATTAAACAGCTTTATATTTTAATATATTCATTACCTTATTAAAGTTTATTGTTTACCCAAGATAACTTAATATTTAATGTTAAGCTTTAACCGAATTTTCTAATTATAATAAATCACTTCGGAAGATACGGTTACATTGGATCGAATAAATAGATAAAATATATTAAGAAAACTTTTAACTTCATTATTTCTATTCGAATATTCAGGGTGTCCCAGAAAGAAGTGCAAGTATTTTATTTTTTTTATTTAACCTGGTCAACAGAAACATATTTTTTCTTTACCACTTTTAAAGTAAATTGAAAATAACCTAGTTATTTAACTTTAGAAATTTTTAAAAATGTAACATTTTGAGAGCCACCGGCAGCAATGAATAATAATTAGCCGCGAATACCAAGCAATTATACCAGATTACACGAATCTCAACTTGTTCGACTCTCAGTGTTAACACATCGATTAGATTTAAAACTGAAAATTTCACACCTCTACTTTTCAACCAATAACATGCTTTAATGTTGACTAGTTACCATGGCAACTGAAAAAATTTCCGGAAATTTTTTGACAGTTGAAAAGGTAAACATAAGATCTACAATCATAATGTGAATGAACTACAATGTCTATATATTGAAATATTACCCATTTGAGTTTTAGCATTTGATGTAACTAAGGTTGGTAATATTTTTTATTTAAGGAAATATGTTAGATATACCTACATATGAATTTCTTCGAAATTGCCATGTTCTAAAAAATATAGTTCTGCCGCCTTTATTTAACTAAAGCTGGTATTTTTCTATTTAACGAAATATGATGGATATATCTATATGATTTTTTTAGAATTTATTTCATGTTGAATTATCTTCAATGCCAAATCTTTAATGATATCGACTAATATAGCAAAATAATAACGAAACACATTTAGTAATTATAGGTTTTATTAATATTAAAAACACAATTATTGTAAATGTTTGTAGGCTGGCTTGAATTGGTGGTTTGAATCTGGGTATTTTCTGTTTTATTTTGCATTGTGCTCTGATCATGATTGAACTGGCTAGTACTTGATGAAATGCTCCTCATGGATTCAATCATCTGTTGATGATGTTCAGCGTCCAACTGTAAGTAAGGTTTGATCGACTGACTATTACTATGTCCAGTAATTTTAATGAGCTGTTGTTCACCAACTCCTTTCTTGGCCAAATTCGAAACAGCTGTTGCTCTTGCAGAATGATTGGTTATTTTAACTTTTTTAGTGTCAATTCCTATATCTGAAGCTGCTGATTTAAACCATGAAGATACAATGTTCTTACCAACTGGGCTATTCTTGTACCATCCTTTCGAATTGGGTTGATTCCAGTATGGGTTTGGTGTTAAGAATAGTCTGTCGGTTTGAATAAGATTTCCCCTTTTTTCCATCAACTTTCTAAACAAGCGAACCGGACACATTTGTGGATTTTCGAAATTTCTAATCAACCATTTACTATCCGACAGTTTTTTAGAACCACCTTGTGTGGTTTTAGAGAAAATTGGATTATATTCTATCCGACCTTTTGGGTTTCCGAAATTATCAGTTTCTTCTTTGAAGTATTGGATACAAGCAGAATGTCCTTCCCCTCCTCTCCATGCCAGCTCATGTGAAACTATGTGAAAAAATTTACGCTGCAACCCATCTGGAGTATTTTCATCCCACATTTCAATAATTTTTTTGTATTCGTCACTGGTTAAGGCTGAAGCACTCACTTTTCTTTTTGCTGAATCTCTCTGTAGTATTTTGCGCTTAGCATCGCGTGCAGCTCTGGCGGTCACAAATTCCACATCAGAAAACGGATTAAATTTTATTTTATATTTTTCGTAATAAATTTCTTGCAACTGCTTAGCAGTAGAGTTCCACATCACTTTGACCACACTTTCCTTATAATCTTCAAAATTTTTCTTTTTCATATTAAATGCGTAGTCCTCCAGTATAGTAGCCAGCTGTACTACACTCATACACTCATGAATATTATACGACTTTTCATCACAAAATTCAACAAACTGTTTCCATACACTTGATTTTGATTTTCGGGTGTTATCTGGTTTTATATTTTCAATTTCTTCTTTAATGACTTGTTGGTTTACTTTTCCAAATCGCGACATTTCGCTATACACTTCTTACTCTACGTACAGACGTTTTAAAACTAGTAATAGCTTAATGACAGAATCGCAAACAAAAATGACAAAACACATAATATGGCAAAAACATCAATACCTTGGCCAACTTAACAAATTGAAATTATTTTAAAATGTCATGTTGGATTAATATTTTTTTTTTCAAATTTAGGTGTGGAATTTTCTTACCGAATACCACGCAAGCTTAAATTATTCCTGGAAATTTTCTTTCGGGCACGAATATTTTAGGAAAATTATCCCTCGTCTTCGACTCGGGATAATTTTCAAAATATTCGTGCCCTCAAAAAAATTACCGAAAATAATTTAAGCTCTTGTGATATTATAAGTGAAAATTCATATTAAAAGTAAAAAACTTACCTAACATTAGAAAACGGTACTCCGGTAGATAGCAGATCAATTAGTCGTTTTATCACTTTACCTAAAACTGCAACACTACATTTTACTGCAATTCTTGACAGCACATCTACCCGCTTGTATTTGCCATAAAATACATTCATACCGTGCTGGCAATTGTTACTTTTGGGTCGGCATTTACATGTGTGGAAGTAAATCGCATAGGGATCTTATTAAGTCGGAGTGAGAGAAATGCGACGGTGTGCTGTGTGTGTTGTTGCGTCGTTGCCGGTACGCCTTTCCCTATCAAGTAAAGTAAAATCACGATCGCAAACCGCTTATTTTTAAAAGACTTCTTTTCAAGAGATAACTAGATAAAATCATTAAACATGTTTCTGAGCATCTGAAATGGAATTATAAGGATATCGTTAGATATCGACAGTAAACACGTTTGGCAACGTGTTTACTGTCCTCTCTTTGTTCAGTACATTATAAACGCATTGGACTCTTCTTACATACGGAAATCTCGACCCAAGACTAACCTTTGCCAGCCCTTAGTATACCATCTGAATTATTTAGGATTATTTTTTAAGAATTTAAACTCTGTTTTTCTATCTCACACTCTTGCTTTTATGAAAAATAATTGATATTTCTATTTGAATATTAAAAGTATTTTTACAGGCTTACCTTATATAACCTATTTTTTTAGTCTTGTGTGAGCGATCCTTTGTAATTTCTCTCGATATTAATTTATACTAATTTCAATATTTTATATAGATTATTTATGTATTTTGATAATGAAAATTTCTTTAACTTTATTTAGTGATATATTTTTTATTTTCCAGGAACTCAGATCTTGTCACCTTTATCCCACTGAGTAAGTAATTTAATTGAATTTCAAGTTACTAATAATTATTTTAAGGTAATTATATTACACATATGTATGTATGTACTTATACCGGGTGCGTCTCAAAAGTGGCTCACCTCTATAACTTTTTATTTTTTCAGATAAAAAAAACGAGATTTGGTATGTTAGTATATAACATAAATTAGGATTGATTGACTTGAAGTCTTGGAAAAATTGATTGATTGGATTGAGGAGTTTTGGAAAAATAGATTTGATCGTCTAATATTTTTACTGTCTTATCCTGGCCGGTTAAAAGATGCCCAAATTGTATTTTTAATCATATCTCAATTTTTTTCAAATGAAACGAGGGTGGCTCATTAGCATATTTTGGGAAAGGCATTTTTTTACGAATAATTTGATGCCACACACTTGGTATTTCAAGTGAATTTGTCGTTATGAACTGCATGTTATAATTTCAAATAAACCAAATGCGAAAATGTCAAAAGTTAAACATATGATATGTCGTTCTATTCGTGTCATTTTCTATCGAATAAAGTAAAAAAATACCGAAGGTACCATTTAAAAATCAGAAGTTGTAGATATTTCTGGTGAAACCGGAAGTGACCGAAAACAATTGAATATGTCAATCAATCCTAATTTATGTCATATACTGACATACCAAATCTCGTTGTTTTATCTGAAAAAATAAAAAAGTTATAGGAGTGAGCCACTTTTGAGACGCACCCGGTATATTATAGCATACTATGAATTTTTATAAAAAAATATATTAAAATAATAAAATATATGGTTACAGGATAATGCGTTTGATTATCGACCTAAGATTGTTATATTTTAATTGTTTAATTATTAATGTTATTTAAAAACATTATGGGTCGATGTCATGCACGAAATGGGCCTACATCAAATTGGTTTACTGGAATTATATTTTACATATTTTTTTCCCAATTTTATATAAACTCAATTTTGTCTAAATTGAAGTCTGGACAATTGTGAAGGAACCTTTATTTAGATTTCATATTTCTCATAAATTATACAGCGTTCAATATAAAAGTAAAAAGACAATACCACTTACAGATAAATTTAGAGGTGTGTCAAATTATTAAATAGATGAGTGCTAAGCTGAAATCAAACCAAACCAAAAACACCTAACTTCAAGTTTTTTATATGTATAATTGGAGTAATCCCATGGATATGGATATTCAGACACCAGGTAGACATATAAATATGAGTTTAATAGAAAACGATGTAAATTCTTTTGTTAATATACATCGAGCATTTTATTTATTTTTATTGCGTTTCTGCTTTATACTCAAAAATCAACCTTTAACCCAAAATCTCTTTTTATTCTTCTTTGGTATTCGAAACCGCCACCCTTTATTTGATTTAAAACCTGCAACGTTCTCGAATTTCAATAGAAAAAATAAAAAACGTTTAGAAGCTATCGAAATATACCAGATAGCGATCCTGACATATCGGCATAAAATGTCTCTTCTAACATTAGGGGGAATATTTAATTATAATATAATTATAATAATATATAAATATAATTTGATAATATTTGGTTTGTACTTGACATTGTAACGACAAAACTAATTTGAAAAAATTACACAGTTCTATTTATAGTAATAAGTATTTTTTTTATATTAAAAATCGATATTAATGACTTATTTTCTAGTTTACATTGACCAATTTCAGATACATTAACATAACAAATTATATTTATTAATTCGTCACATGCAAAATTACATATTAACTTAGACATTTTCAACCCATGCTTAGAGTTTATTGCAGTTAGGTATACCATGTTTGGCCCAACTTTCATTTAGCTGACATCAGTTATATAAGAAATATTAGTTTATTTAGTATTGGAAACCTTTCCAAATAGATAGTCATGAAAATTTTTTCCGCGGAAATGCATCATTTTCAGTTTTTTAACTTAAATTTTGTTGTAATTGCTTAAACCAGTTGCATGAAAACACATTTCTATTTTTCATTCTAGAAATTTTTCTAAACATGCAAAAAACACAAAAAAACTTCTTAAGGAAGTGTACCATTTTCATTTTTATTGATAAAATATAACCAGATTTGAAAAGCACTCAGCAATTGTAATTCGTAACAGGCGCGTTTTAGCTTATAGTGTGTTTTGATTGCTTTGGTTTGGTTGGTTTTTTCGTTTTTGTTTATTTTAGTGTTTTCTCGGTACGGTATTGATTTCTAAATTACAGTATCTAGTAGGTTAAGTTCATACCTACACAAGAAAAGTCTTTAAAATGTAAAGCAGGAACATGTTTTCATGTAACTGATTCCGTTAATTTATTCTAAAGTTATCACTATTTTACGAAAATGACGTGTTTTATAAAAAAATTGCTATTTCTTTTAATTTTTGCGCTTACACGTGCATCACCAACGCAATTTTAAAATGAAAAGTTAATTTAATTTTTATTTTTTTACAATTTCTGTCACATTTTTTCGAAAAACTTGATTGATTGAATATTGTCAAAAAATCATAACCGCTGTAAAAATACATTAAATTATTATTTTTTTATTTAGGCAGAACGTTAAGAAAATATATAAAACGCTGTAATTTCAGTCACTTTGTTTATATTGACAATATTTTTTTTTCTATAGGCTTGGTGAATTTCAGTTGATTTTAAAAATTCCGACCGCCGCACACTGGTCGAAATCGCTACTTTACAGTGCAAATATTAGGAAACCCTAAAGATGCGTAGTTGGCTGTGACCTATGAAATGCGAAAAAGGAAGGTCTAAAGATGGCGCAGGTGACATATTTTTTTGCGAAATTGCTGTCTTTATTGTATTTTATTAATTAGATAACAGGTAGTAATTGTATGAAGTCATACACGAAAAATTGAAATAATATTTAATCATTAATATTGACTGCAATCTAGTAACGTCTGCAAACGTGAATCAACGTGTTTGTGATTTATGTTGTTTTGCTGGGAATTTGTAATAGTTAGGACCAAATTTTGGTGAGCAAATAATTTTTTGTCTATTATTTTTTCAACAAAACTAAACTGGTGATTAAAACAAAAATTATATTTCTTTTCTTCAGGTTTCGCAAAGGTAAACCATACCTTGTCCGGTCGTGTTCGATACAATTTTTTTTCAAGATTTAGAAGGCTTTTTGGTAAGACATTTTCTTATATAATTAACTGCTACTAGGTGCACGGTTCGGAGTAACACACATTTATCTAATAGATATGTCGTTGACAAGAAGGGAGCTTTATGAAGTTTGGCGACGGAAAAGTGGTCTTAAATAAAAAAATTCGGCGGTCCTTTCATATGCTATTCGCCGACTTGGTATACCCGAAGACAAAGAGACAACAACCAAACCAAAAGTATCTTGTAGTGAAGCGCACAGCAAATAGTTTCACTAGGAAACTGCAATAAAAGTGGGAAAGAGTCTTATAGAATTCTAAGTCGATTCGAAACAAATAATTCAGATTGGTTAAATGACAACATAGTTTTTGATCCAGATGAACAAACCAAATTTTGTTAATCTAGTATTCTCTTTCTGTTATCTCTAGGTTTTTTCAATAATTATATTTGCAAGAGAAAAACTTATTAATTTTTAACCCTTGTGTCTCACTTCCCTGGAAGCGTGGGGGTATATGTTATCGTTAAAATCTTAATTGGGAATGGGGACAAGAAGCACATCATTTTAAAAATCTGATCGAGTACTTTAGCCTTCCAGATTATGTTCCTAGTAGCCTGTCATGTCATTTTTTTTACAGTATGTCACCATTTTTTTGACGATAATAGGAAGTAAGATTTTAGAATTGTAAAGTACTCGATGAGACCTTCAAAATGATGTGCATCTTGCACCTCTTTTCATTTAATATTCTCAGGGTAACATTCACCCCTTCTAAGGGGTTGAAACATGAAGGCTAACATTTTTATTTGTATTTTTAGATTTATCTTGTCATTTTATGGTATATTCAATATAAACTAGGTTAAAATTTTCGTCTTACTAATATCGAACATTTTTTGCATCGTAAAGTAGCGATTGCGACCAGTGTGCGCCGCGCTCGATATGGCGGAAATCAGAAATGTTCGGCTCTGTATTTCACGCAGTTTCGATGTTAATCGCATTGAAATAATATTAAAATCGTGGCATTCTCATAATATTTAAGTAGGTATTTTAGTTTTTAAATAGTGCAGTTATTAACTATTTATATTTATATGCTATGTATGGATGTAACGGTGTTTCGTTTTTTGTAATACTGTTTCGTTGTAAAACTGTATAACGCTCTGTCTATACAATGTTATTGCAATCTATACTGCAATAACATTCAACAACTTAACTTTCCCGGATAATTCAACTCTTCCCAAACAACTTTTTATAACTTCACAATAATTTCTCACACCGATTTGCTCAAAAGCCAAAATGGATTCAAGCAGCTCGATGAAACAAGTCAGTAAACAAAATGTCCATTACATAATCAAAAAATTAAATAGGCATATATTATGAGAGAATAAATAATTATAATTTACAATATTAATGAATACTTGTTTTAATCAACTAGTGCTTAATTTTTTATGAACATCTAAAATTATAATTATACAGGGTGTCCCACGATTAGTGCGACAAACTGAAAGGGGTTGTAGAGGGCATAACCAAGTCATTTGAGCATACGAACCTATGTCCGGAAATGTGCCGTTTTGGCAGGAGGTGGAGTGAAACGTAAATTTCAAGTTGCATTATTTATTCAAAACATTTACAAAAACTGCTCAAAGTGCCGTCCAGGCGTGTGCATTTGTCTCTTCAACAGAATGGACGGCACTTTGAGCAGTTTTTGTAAATGTTTTGAATAAATAATGCAACTTGAAATTGGAAAAATGGAAAAACTCCACCTCCTGCCAAAACGGAATATTTCCGGACATGGGTTCCTATACTCAAATGCCTTGTTTTGATGCCCTCTACAACCCCTTCAGTTTGTCGCACTAATTGTGGGACATCCTGTGTACCTTTAAAAAATTCTTTATAAC